AGAGTCAGATGGTCAGACGGAACGTGCCAACCGTGTCCTTGAAGATATACTTCGAGGATACGTACACTCCTTTAAGAGTTGGAGTGAGTTTTTGCCAATGGTAGAGTTTGCCATCAACAACTCGGTGCATGCGTCCACGACACATACACCGTTTTACGTGAATGGCTTCGCCATCCGCGTGTACCCACCTTACTAGAGTGTAACTCTGGTTTAAGGGGGGGAGGGACTCGCGCGAGCAAAAACCGAATTGGTTCACGCTCATCACGCTCTGACGAGGAAGTCATTGCGTTTGATGCCGATATCGATAACATCGATATCGAAGAAGATGATGCCAGTGAGAGCGCGGAAGCCCTCACTAAAGAAAAGGTTGATGTTGCTGCAGTGCGCTCACAGCACACTGAAGCTAACGAGTCATCAGATGAGTTCATACTGGCTCGTGAAACGGTAGTCCGTTTTGTGCAAGACTCCATCGCCGAAGCGGTGGATAAGCAAAAGCAAAACACTGACAAGAATGGAAGGGCAAACACTCTTTTATTTAATAAAGGCGACTTAGTCCTACTGTGTACGGTTAATCTACCAAAGCATGTAGTGACTAACTTGGGTAGCAGTAAACTACTACCCAAGTACATTGGCCCATTTCGTGTATTGCACCGCCTAGGCAATGCATACACGATCGAGATACCACGTAAGATGCGAACGCATCCCACGTTTTACGTTGGTCGGCTTAAGCCGTACCATCAGTACGCTGCTTCTTCCGATGAAGAACGCCCTTGCGCTCAAGCATCTCGCAGAGAGCCTTGTGCTCCCGATGGTGGGCATCAACAAGGGTCTGAAGAGCAGTTATCTCAGCCCGAGACCGATCAACAATCCCACGAGCTACCCTTATCTCGTCACGAAGAGATGTCAGAGATCTCTCGTTCTCAAGCTGAGCAAAAGCAAACTCAGCTCGATGCTTCGAGACAGTGTCCGCCATTTGGAGACGCCTGTCCCGCTCATGTTCGAGATCGTCGCGCAATGCAAGAGTTACGCGGTCAAAAAGGCTCTCGGGGATACACGGATCCCCATGATCGTGTGGAGAGCGTCTTTCCTCCTCCTCCACCTCCATTAGAGGACTCTCGCGGTGGTCAGCACTATCTAGTTGAGCAGCTGTTGAACCACCGCGACTTGAACGGACGTCGGAAGAGTTATCTTGTCCGGTGGCGCGGCTATCCCCCGTCCTGGGATACTTGGGAGCCCCGCTCCCAACTGATAGTTGACGTACTGGGTTTGGTTGAGCAGTACGACGCGGCGCATCCTGTGCCGCAGAAGGAATGCCGGAGAAAGTCTTCCCGGCAAGGTCGTAAAGGGATTTCAGGTTGTCAATCCTTTCGTACATCTCAGTAGATATACGTACGCGCCACCACGGGCTAGTAAGGAGGTAAGCCTCCTTAGGTGCTGGTGCAGAGTTGTTCACACATCACGGGCACGAGTCTCCGCAGAAGAGGCAGGGTAATCCTTTCTCCCTTGACAGACGATGCAGTTTGTAGCGTGCACCTGTCGGGGTTCGCTTTTCAAACTTATCACGAGCTTTGATAAGTTTGTCGTTCCAAGCGTCACGACCTACATCCTCGAGGTTATGGATGTAGGCGTTCCACGCTTGAAGTAGTGAGGGACCATCACACTTGTGATTCCCACTGTACCATCGATGTCTAAAGAAAGCATCGATGAAGAATTTATGTTCAGCGCGATAGTTTTTCGCGCTGGGGTCAAGGTGATGGATCCTTGACGAATCGAACAATCGTGTTCGATAACGATCACTCGTCGTCGCCGACAAGTGATCCATGACGGATTTTGGAGGCATCCATGCCTTCTTCTCGGGGGCGAGACGCAACACATTGCGGTCCCGCTCTTCCTGCGATGTGCCGACAGAAGTACTGGCACCTCGCTGCGAAGTGGTGTCAATAGGAGAACCGACACCACTGTGAGCGCCCGAGTCTCGCGATCTCGAGCGCCTTCGCTTTGGCGATGGTTCATCTGATTCTTCAGACGACCCAAAGATGCTAGGACGCGTAGCATCACCCATGCCACGCTTGGCTGGCGGCTTGGTTTCGATCGCCGTCGATACGGATCCGTCTTCCGTATCGGGAGAGTATGAGACACCGAGCTCATACTCTGTGAAGACATGAGTGTCTTCATGACCAGCGCCTGCATCATCAGGTGACACAGGCTGAGTCGCTTCAGCAACCGATGACACATCAGTTGCTGTTGTTTCTGCTTCGGCGTCCGCACGTCTCGGCGGCCTTGCTCGCGCACCGCATGGGCTTGTTAACCATGCGATGAGATGTTGGAAAGTGGACTTGGACCAACAAGTGCAAACCCCGTCCCAAATGATTTGGGACGAGTATCCATTTAGTCAATCAGTCACTAAAGTGACTGATGGTTAAGGGGGGGGTGATGTAACGGGGTGAATCGTTACATAACAATTTGTAAGAAATTGTTAATAGAATATAACTATAAGAGTTCTATTCTCAGAATATTGTCATAAGGACAATATTCTGTAGCACTTACGAGTAGTTCCTAATTGGTTGATATAGGCCATTATATCAACCAACGAAGACGCGCCACGACAGACGCACGCAATGAGTGGTGAGCAGATAACTGATTTACACATTTGTATTTAGACATAGTTAGATGAGGATAAATAGTGATTTATTGCAGACATTAACTATTATAAATACAGTTCTACTTTTTACTTTAACCAAGTACTCGCTTCTTCTTACCATCTTCCTCTGCACGTACGAGTGTACGTGAAGTTACGAGGCACCGCCTTATTCTGTCATCAGAATAAGTAGCTTGTACTGTCACCAGTACAAGCTTCAGGGTGCCCCGTTACAGGAAAGATACTGCAACACCAAGTCTTGCACCGCCATCGCGTTTTCCAATCACACGATACTTTAAGTTTAAAATGTGGGAGATTGTGTGTAACGGGGCACCCTTTGTTTGGGTGCCACGAAACTCCACGTACACTATATACGTCCAGACGAAGCTAATTTACTCAAACAGCTAGTATGTAACGGGGTGAATCGTTGCATAACAATTTGCAAGAAATTGTTAATAGAATATAACTATAAGAGTTCTATTCTCAGAATTTTGTCATAAGGACAAATATTCTGTTGCACTTACGAGTAGTTCCTAATTGGTTGATATAGGCCATTATATCAACCGACGAAGACGCGCCACGGCAGACGCACGCAATGAGTGGTGAGCAGATAGTTGATTCACACATTTGTATTTAGACATAGTTAGATGAGGATAAACAGTGGTTTATTGCAGACATTAACTATTATAAATACAGTTCTACTTTTTACTTTAACCAAGTACTCGCTTCTTCTTACCATCTTCCTCTGCACGTACGAGTGTACGTGAAGTTCCGAGGTGCCGCCTTATTCTGTCATCAGAATAAGTAGCTTGTACTGTCATCAGTACAAGCTTCAGGGTGCCCCGTTACATAGTATGAGTAAAGGGTGAAAAAGAACTGTATTTAATATAGTTAAGCTATCAATGTAACTTTAATTTTTATCTAACTATATTAACCTACACTGTCGTACGACGACAACCTGCTCACCACTCATTGCGCGCGTCTAGTAGCGATTGGCAGTAATCTATGGTTGATGTGTCTTTATCAACCAACCTTTGAGCAGCGCATGAATATTATCCTAAAAGGGAATATTATTCCTTCGATATTATCCATTTTAGATAATATCTGTAGGGCACTGTCACGCTATACAATCTCCCTTTTGACACCGTGTGATGTCAATATCGTGTAACGGGCTACACCGTTACATCACCCATTAGACCATCAATCACCCGTTTATTGAACAGAATTGATAGGGACAGGGTGACCACCGTTGGATCACTTTAGGAAGGAGGGCGCTTGTTGGTCAAATTCCAACTTATCTGCCAATTCATCGCATGGTGTCAAAGTCCATTCGACGTGATGCCGAAGTAGTAAAAAAGCGGTTGCACTCTTGCGTGCATCCAAATAGAGTTCTTTTATCGCTTCAGCAGTAGGTGATGTTTCGCCTGCTGTTCCGATCTAGGAACAGGCGGTGCCTGTTGCGAACAGTCCACGTGGTGAGTCATCACGTGCGACAGATACATTCGCTGCGTCTGCAGCGGGTACTGAGAATCGCAATGTAGGTGAGCCTATAATTGAGCTCATGTATTCTAGCGAGTCGGATGATGCATTTGACTCGAAAGCGGCACCTCAAGCCTCCGGATCACCCGGGGCATACACTGCAAGCGCCAGGTTGGCTGGTTCTGGGGAACGTGGCGGCATCATGTCCAAGATCATCGGACTGAGCGATTTTTCTGACGAATCCTCTTCTCACGCAAGTCCATCTGACACGAAGACGCGTGGTGATGGTGGTGACGCACCTATAATATCACCACAAGCGAAGTAACTCGAATTATCGAGGTGTCACTGGTGTCAGTGCTCATGCTGACACCAACCAAGAGGCCAGGGACTGAAATGTCCTGCGCCATTCTCCTTAAGTGAAGCCTCCTTGAAAGTTATTATCCAAGGAGTTGGACCGGTTGGCCGGCGTGACTATCGATCGGGATGAATTTCATAGTTCGACTGTAAGAGGATCTTTCCTCCTAATTTCAGCACGGAAACCATCCGTGATGAGGAAGATTTATTCACCGATGCGTTTTCCAAACATCAGTGGCATAATGGCAAATGTGGTCGAGACAGTAAGGCCTTACTGCAAGGATGAAGTGCCTTCATCCATAATAGTGCGCTGGCCATGAGACTTGGAGCGGTAAACTTGATGCAGCACGCATCAGATTTGAAAAGCGTAACCTAGTCGGTATACGATACAAGTTGCACCGACTGTCAAGAGAGTCAGGATTACCCTGTCTCTTGTGGGGGTGTTCGTGTCCAAGTTGTCTGGACAACTCGAATCATGTGCATAGGGAGGTCTATCTCCCTAATGTTCCCCACTGGAGGGTATGCATCTCTACTTAGATGGACGAAGGGATTGACACCTTGCAAACCCTGTGCTCACGTTCGGGGAGGTCGTTTTCCGATAGCCCTTCTTCGAACGCAGCGTGTGGGTCGCGTCATATTGCTCGACCAGACCCGAAACACCAACAATCAGCTGGGCACGAGGCTCCCAGCTGTCCCAGGTCGGTGGATAGCCACACCAGCGAACGAGGCAATTCTTCCGGACGCCATTCACGTCGCGGTGGTTCAAGATACGCTCCACCAGAAAGCGTTGATCACCGCCAGAATAATCCAAAGGATGTGGTGGTGGCGGGAACACCTGATCCGGCTCGAGGTTTGGATCAGCTTGATGTTCAAAAACAGAACCGCGTAACGGAAAAGTTACACAATGACCAGGTTTATAAACAGACTCGGCGTTACGAGCTCCATGACCTTGTAAAAGATCTTAGCGCACGATCGTTCGAACAATCGCGCCGTGTTTGCTTTTGCGTAACTTGAGAACGAACGTTCGATTCGTTCTCTTCGTGACGAGCTGACTGCAGCTCGTCACGACCTCGCTGAACTGCGTGAGCAGGTCGCTTCGCTAGGCGACCAGACTGGAACGTTGAAACGGGACCAATCGAAGGTGGTCTCGGTCCTTGACCGCGGAGGTGTTCTTCGCCTCTCAAAACGGGCTCGTACTGATAGTACGGGCGGAGACGTCCAAAGTAAAACGTAGGATGCGTACACATCCTAAGAGGCAGTTCAATCGTGCATGTGTTGATCATTCGGCGCAACACACGAAATGGACCGATATACGTGGGCAGTAATTTACTGCTGCCCACGTTTGTCACTCCGTGTTTTAGTAGGTTTACTGTAGACAGTAAAACTAAGTCTTCTTCATTAAATGAACGAACATTGGCTCTTCTGTGTTTGTCTGCGTTTTTCTTCCGTCTGTCAAGTGCATCTGCAATAGAGTCTTGAACGAAGCGGACAACCGCTTCGCGAGTCAGCAGACATTCCTCTGCTAATTCATCCTTGTCAACAGCAGTGCGCTTCGTGTGCACTGCTTAAAGAACTTTGTCTTCACCAGTGAGGGAGTCATCGTCCTCAATTTGGCGGTCATTAGCGATGCTGAATACACCAGTATCGTTGCTGTCATTATCATCGATGTCGATCGCGTCGACATCGTCATCCATCACTTCCAGACCATTGTCGACGCGTGATAAGCAAGAATCAGATCGGTATCGTTTAAGCGAGTCCACCACCCCTCCTTAAACTAGAGTCACACTCTAATAAAGCAGGTAAACGCGGATGTTGTCGGCCATTCACGAAGAATGGTGTATGCGTTGTCGACGCATGCACCGAGTTGTTAATGGTAAATTCCGCCATCGGCAACTCCCTTTAACTCGTAAACGAGTGGAAATACCCTCGAAGTTTCTCTTCGAGGACGCGGTTGACGCGTTCCGTCTGTCCATCTTTTTCTATATGGTCAGAAGTCGAAGTCGTCAAATGTGTTTCAAGTGAACGGAATACAGATTGCCAGAACTTTACTGTGAAGCGGGTGCCCCATTAGACACGAGTTCGCGGGGTAACCCGTGAAGTAAGAAATATAGTATTGACGAAGACACGAGCACAGCCCTGGGCTGTGATTGACTCCGGTACAGCAACAAGACGTAACATCTTGCTGAACCAATCAACGAACACAAGAACACCAGTATTCTTGTAAACGCCTTTGGGAAACCCGAAGACGAAGTCCATCGATATAAACTGCCAGTACTCTGCCGGAATCGGAAGAGGCTGCAAGGGTGCGCGGGGTGAAGGACTAGGCTTCACCCGTTGGCAAACCTTGCAAGCGCGAATGTATTTCCGCACAAACCCATACTGGTGGGGACAGTAGAAGTCACGAATTACCGTGAGGTAAGTCTTTTCTCACCGCGATGCTCACTTGTTGGGGCATCGTGACACTTATACATGATGCGCAATCGCAAATCATTATGAGCGGGAACGATGACACGACGTGTGTCGCCGTTGACTGCTGTGTAGTACGGCAGTCCATCACGAACCGAATACCGTTCGGTTGAAGAGCGGTCTTAAGACGACAAGCTTTTTAAAGCTTGACTACATGGATGGATACGTAATCCATCAACCGCAGAAGAAATCCATCTTCTGTGTATGCTTTTCGCACTTCTTCGAGCAGATTCGACGACGGATCACTCACTGTTAGTGTCGCTTCAGTGGTATCACCCCTAGTGTTGTGTTAAGCAGTCGGGTCGAAATCGGGTCGGCGCGAAAGAGCATCAGTGACGACACTAAGTCTTCCTGGCTCAAACTAGACGGAGAAGTTGTACTCCGCAAAGAAATACAGCTACCTCGTCATTTCGTTGCGAGAGGTGTGGACTGTTCACGGCCCTGCGTGACGACACATGGTCGGTGTCAACGATGAAGGGCCTATCTCCTAAGAGATATACCCGAAACTTATCCAGTGCATATTTCATGGCAAGGAGTTCCTTGTCATGCACAGGGTAATTACTCTCAGCTGCCTGCAGCTGACGCAATTGATAAAAGACGACGCGCTCAACGCCGTCTGAGTCATACTGCATTAACGCGCAGCCGATTGAATAATCGCTGGCGTCACAGACCACATGAAATGGTCTATCTTGATCTGCAATTGCCAACACAGGCGATTGTATTAAGCTTTTCTTGAAACCTTCGAAGGAATGCTGATGCTTAGCGCTCCATGACCACCTCTCGTTTTTCTTTAACAGACGAGAGATGTACGGTCATCTCGGCGTTGTTGCGCGAGTACTTGTGCAAGTACGCCACTAAGCCAAGGAACTTTCGAAATCCCTTGACGTCGAATTGCACAGGCCAGTCGCTAACCACCTCGATCTTATCCGTATCAGGCGTACACCGTTTTTACCCACAATGCACCCAAGAAGTGGTACTCGCTCACTGCGAATATACACTTTTTGAGGTTCGCGAACAACTTCTGCTCTCGCGTTAGTGCAAGAACCTTCCGGAAGTGGATTCTATGAACCTCCACGTCCGTCTTTCCATCCATAGCCCGGCTATGGACGAAGACATCGTCAAAGTTACTCGGTTCGAATTCGCGCACCGATCGCAACATATTCGTAACACATCTGTTGAACGTTGCAGGGGCGTTAATTAGCCCCTGTGACATCACTAGCCACTCCCAGAGCGTACCACTGAGGGTGCTCACTGCTGTGTACGGGATATTCCGTTCACACATGAGGATCTGATAGAGTCTATCCATCAGATCCAGGGAGGAAAAGATGGTACTTTTTGCCATACCATCTATGATAACGTCCTTCCTTGGGATCGTCGTTTGAGCCGGTACTGTTGCAGCGTTCAATTTGTTGAACGCGTGCACTATATGCCACGCTCCTGTGGCCTTTCGCACACAGAAGGTCGTAGAGATGTGTGGGGATGTTGATTACCCTACATGGCCAGCCGCTAAACGATCGTCAAAGAATTTGTCGATCGCTGCGAACTGCTCACAAGAAAGTGTTCACTGCTTCATGACACAGTACTTCGAACCGGGTTTCAGTTCAATCTCATGCCGAGTGCCTTTGTCTTTGGGAAGCCCGCATGGCACGGATTCCGGTAAAACATCCCTGTATTCGACCAAATTCTTGCACAAAGCATTTGTTTTCAAAGACTCCCAAGATTGAGACGTGTATCGCTAAATCCGGGTCTTCTCATAGAGGACACTTTCATCCATCGGTGAGCTACTGAGAACCCGTTCGTTCTCAGCAAACACTTGTGACGACCGAATATCGGCGACGAACTCATCCTCTGTGACGAGTACGCAGATCTGCTTGATCCTGTCACTACGCAGATCTCGCAAGAATCTTTTTGATTCTAGCGTTGGCAGCTTGACCACCTCCGAAGCTGAGTTCGGGGGCGTCACCAGATCAAGTGTATAAGCGCCTACACTTGATCCGTCATTCACCAAGACATTCACTGTCTCGATGATTTCCTGGCGAAACACATCCGCAGGTGGTTGGTTTTCCACACCCTCAGCATAACTCTTTAGGAAGTAATCACTCTCAGGAACGCTGTAACCTTCTTCCAATACGTGTACTGACTGTGGGTGTACCACCACAGTCACGTCCTCTACGATCGACTCTCTGTTAGTCTATCTCGCTTTAACGTGTTGATCATCCTGAACAACACTAATCTCTCTTCTTGGATGCACCCTTCTTGGTGTGCATCCGTGTTCCAGCCCACTCGATCTCTTCGAGTGGTGAACCTTCGGCGCAGCCTGTGTCTCTACACAGGTGCCGGAATTTGATTCCACAGTGTAGTGGCCTTCTACACTGTGAACTCGTGTAATCGTACTAACGACCGTACCACAAGTGAGGCCATCGCACTCACTCGTAGTACATCCACACGCTTGTGGACGCTCCGAAACGTTCATCAGATGACCATCTGATGAACAAGCGGCAGGCATCGTTACTGTTCAATGTTGCCAGTAAATTCATGGCTGGTACTTCCAAGCCATGGCAGACCGAGGATGACATCAAATTCGTCATCCAAATTTAGTACGATGAAGTCATCATCGTACTGCATTCCTTCTAGCGTGTAGTGGATTCCCAATACACGTTTGTTCATTGTTGCGGATGCGCCTGTAGCAAGGCACACCGTCATCCTCATTGGAGGTAAATCTAGCTCATTATAGTTAAGTCTACTATCCTCTAGCAACTGGCGTCGAATAAAACTGTTCGACGCCCCACAGTCAACTAGGGCGCGAAGTGACATTCCACTTGTCACTTCGATCTTCAAAGTGATGAGGGACACCTCATCACTAGGGGCAGTAACACACACTGACTGTGTGCTGGGAGCGACCTTCGTCAAGAGTCCTACAAATTCTCTTGACGTTGCTGGATCAGCAGGGTGCTCCGCCCTACTGACCCTGACCGCTTTTTGGCGATCCGACTTGCTGTCGCGGTTTAGCGACATGGTCATACCCGCGCCTTGGACCTTTCCTCAGCCAACGGCGGTCAGCACGTTCTGTCTTTGGACGTGATGCGGTATTTGGGAAACTACACTCATGAGCGTAGCGTCCAATCTTCTGACAGCAATGGCATCTTGACGTTCGCTTGTGAATCAGAGAGCGAGAGTTCTTGCTCTCGATGTAACAGAGGTCCATTGGTTTGGGACCTCCGGTTTCCTGTCGTCTCGTCGGACAGTAGTTTAATGAGTTAGCCTGATACTGTCTCAGGCTGAAGTCTTCTTGTTCCGCATACGCTATCGCCTTTTCCAGCGTATGGAAGTCCTCTTGGAGCATGCAGGTCTTCACCGGCCCATCCACAAAGACGTAGTGAACACGTTCATGAGCGTGTGCTCATCAACAGGGTTTTCTGTGACGCTAATCGCAAGGTAGCGAAGGTGTTGTGCGTAATAATGTAGCATCGTCTATCTCGACGAACCATCTCAAAAGGGAATCTTCATCAGTTCCCTTGTGCCTTGAAATATCTATCGTCAAGGTTTCGGTTCGACGCATGTGCGTCGCCCCGCCCATCGACTGATGAGAGTCTTGCTGTTGAGGCAAGACTATCTTCTGTCTTTCGACGGCAAGTTCCCCCTGTAGGAACTTGTTGATAGCAGCGTGTTGCTGGTCTCTGCTTAGAGACTCCAACATGTTACTGATGGCGGGTTCGCCATGAGCACATTCATGCGGCCGACTACCTCCCATTCTGGGTCACCATTATGGTAGTAGCCTTCA